TAACGGTAATGGTAACGATTCTAGATTACAACAATTACATCATCATCAACAGCAACATCAACATCAATATCAACATCATCATAATGATGGAAATAATGGCTCAATATCAAGTATAACAATTACTTCGAGTGATGTTGTTTCATCATATGATGCATCATCAGGTCATCATCATCAAAAAAAACCATCGTTATCATCTTCTCAATTTAATAATGATCAAATCGATCCATCAAAAAACATACATAGCAGTTTTGTTGGAGCCTATTTTCTTTTTTTTTCAAAGTTTGAATAAAAAAAATAAATTATTCTCATATTAATACCGATTCTGTTTGCTAATTCTTCAAAGACTAACTGACTCATTCATTATATGGACTTTTATGGTGATTTACGTTGGCTTTATTTGGCTATGTATGTTTAAACATAATAGTCATTGAATTTTCATTATTAACATACTAAATGCACGAAGGAATTCTATTCCAAATAAATATTTATTTTATTTTATTAAAATGAGATTTTTTCGTCATGCAAAAAAGAAAATAAACCTCGTTTAATCAAGTTAAAACAAATCAAATCATAATTCAGATTCAAAAACCACGAATTTGTTGATATATTGTAACACAAAAGCAAAAGTCGATATATTAATCATTATTGTTTTCTTTATCAATAATAAAGTGTCACAGGAAGGTTTAATTGATGTTTATTATCATCCCAAATATGAATTGAATTTTCGCGATCAAAAGATGGAATTTTTGACGTAATACTAATGTAGATCTTTAATCGACGATTCTTTTGACAGATTCTAGTCCCACCAATTCAATACAATATACTTTAGTTTGTCATTATATATTATTGAATGAAAGTAGATAGATATAATAGAGATTCTTATCTTGTAATTGTATCATATATTTATATATAAAAATATATACCTGTTTACTTACTTGTATATAAATTGTTATTAAAGTGGCTGCAGGATACAGAGACTAATTGGCAAGCTTTCGTTCTATATAGTTCAGATTACCCATTGGATGTAAATGTTGATTTACTAATACCATTCATTAATCAATTGAAGGTAAATTTACTCCAGAATATCAAAGGTTGACTAGTTAGTATCATTACCACATTATTATTTCTTTATTCTTGTTTTCGTCATCAATCTAGTCTCTGATATTTTGTTTAAATTGACGAACTTGCGATTGAATATGTTTTAAGTAAATATTTCTTAGTGATAGAGACAAATAAATATAAATGATAAAGCATTAATGCATTCTAATATTAGTGCGCCAATTTCTTTGAATGTAGTGATGCTTTTTGCAAAACGATGTGCCTAAAATTTAATTTAGACTGTGTAAAATAATAACTTGTTTCTTGTGTGTCATCTGGGATTGATCATATTTTGGTGCCAATAAGAGAAAGAAGACCAATCAACCAACCAATTAATTAACTGTGATTATGTAACAAGATAATAAATAGCCACTGCATTATTGCAAACCAATGGTTGACAACTTTAATAACAATAATAATAATATTATTATTATACAAATAATTAAATTGATTTGATTGATTGATTAATTGATTGATTGATTGATTTATTTGATTTATTTAAATACAAAAAAAAATTTTTTTTTAAGGGGTAAAAAATAATTAAATTTTCTTTTCAGAAAAGTATTAAAACACATTTTGAAATCTCCAAAATAAATAAAAACTTGACAAATTGAAACATTACAACCAGAAGTTTAACTCGTCTAGCCTTGTTGAAATTGTTAAAAGGCAAGAAATGCTGACTTGGGGAGAAAAATTCACGAAAAGATATTCAAATAGATTTTGTGAAAATTGTATTAGTCTACACAAAGTCTTTTTAACACTTGGACATCTGGAAATGATATAGTTGATAATTTTATTCAAAAATGTCAATATAATTGTTTTTTATTTTATTTAAACAAATGGATAAAGATATTCAAAAAGATTTTGTGAAAATGTATTAGTCTACACAAAGTCTTTTTATACTTGGACATCTGGAAATGAGATAATTGATAGTTTTATTCAAAAATGTCAATATAATTGTTTTTTATTTTACCTTTGATGTTATCTATATTATTATGTATTAAGTATGATGTATTTATTTTTATATATTTGCAAATTAATTGCTTTTTGTAAAAGATTGTTGTAAATAATTTAATAACAATATTAGAAAAATATGTATGATAAATTAAGATTTCTTTATTATAATAATAAATAAAAGTTATTCATGAGAAATTAGGCATCCTCCACATTTTACGTTCCAAATAGCCTTGTTACTTGCCCGTTATTGAAAAGAACATGTATGGATGATACACTTCTGTGACATTTCTACTACCGAGACATATTCGATTACGAGAACAGGGTCAATATGGAAAAGAATAAATGGATGGATGGAGAAGGAGAAGATGAAAAGAAGATTATTGACAATGATAATAATGACTTTGAGTCCGGGTATTTTCTTCCCATGAATATAAAAAAGGTATCCGGCCTATATACAATTCCTCCAATTTTTATTAAGCAAACAGGGTCTAACATTTTCACCAGTTATAGATGGAGAATTGTAAGTTAATCGACCTTTGTGCAATCGATTTTTATTCAATAGATTAATTAAAATTTTGGGGTGGGGTGCTTGGATATGAAATTCTGATTGGCTAATTTGAAATTCACAAAAATTTCATTTTCACGTACAACGTCCATATTGTCTTCATCTACAAATTCCACCACCACAGCAACAACAAACACAACGATTCCTTCTTCGTCTGCTCCTTCTGAAAGGCTGTTTTCTTATGATAAGATCAAGTTTTGTAGTGTTCTTAAAGTATAGAGATTTGCTTTTGTATGTAAAAACAAGTCTTTTTTTATCAGAAGATAATGTTTCATTTTATTATGATGTAAGTTTATTATATATTTAAATATTAAAAAAAACAATGTGATAAAAACATTACTACTATTTTTCTTTATCGATTCGAAGAATTCCGAAATCTTTCCTCCTAGTTATATTACATTTTTAATCGCTTGTTTACACACGACACCACACCAATAACATGTTGTTGGTAAAAGATCTGCAAGTAACAAATCACTTTGTTGCGAAGCAATTAGTAAAAAGTTCACAGTAGTCTATTTGACTATGTTCTTTTTTTGCAACGAAACAAAGAATTGGCTAATAATTATATCTTGGCATTCAACAGTTAATTAACATTATTTAATTGTTACGATTTGCCGAATTAATAAATACTATTTATTATTGCATTTAAACAAGATCGAAAAAATACAATTTGTACTTGAAATAAAAAATAAATTGAAAAAGCTAATAACATATAAAATTATTCTAAAAAATAAAATAAATATTAAATGGCTTCATGCTTGTAGTATTTATTTCTTGTAGTATGGCTTCTTGTAGTAAAAATAGAGCGTCTGGAGCAACACCACACTTTTTTTGAAGTAAAAAATAATAATTATTAGAATTACGTTATATTTAATATTTTAATATTTATTTTTAATTAGATTATTAGATAAATCTACCTTTCTAATTCGGCATTATCGGTCGATGACTTTATATTTTATTATATTTATTTCATTTTTTTAAAAAATTTTATTTGTTACGAATTGTTTTTGAAATTGATGTAAAGTTAATTTTTGTATATTGAAGCAAGTTAAGGGAGAATTTTACGTGCTTATATAGATATTTTGATTCCTAACAAATTATTAGATTCATTTAATCTATCTTTTTATTACATTACACAGCCATACTTTTTTAAGCCTTATTAATGTGTCACCAAGTTTTTTAACTTTTGGATTTAGCCACTAATCTGGTTTTCTTTATAGTACGCCCCAAAGATGAAAAATGATAAATAATTTACATAATAATATAAATTATAATCATAAAAGCTTAATTAATAATCATTCAAAATACTTTTATAATAAAAAACTATTACTATTAAATATATATTATAATACAAAAAGCACCATTAGTAGTGATAATAGTAATAAAAATGATGATGACAATAATAATGACAACGACGAGTATAACAATTTTTCATCAAACAATATATTTAATGAGAATGATGGAATTAACAATGATAAAAAAGTTGAAGGTGAAAAGTTTAAAAATTCACCTGCATCAATGAACACAATATTAAAAAATTCTTTTGTAAAAGAAAACGACTTGCCATGGAAAGGTGAAGAAGAACCAAGTGTAACAGTTTTAAGAATGTTAGAAATTTTTTTTATATATTTCTTTGGACAGACAGACGATTATTAAGGATGATTCTAGGTTTCCTTCTGCCAGAGACGTGAAGGATCGTCCCGATTATGATGAGGGCTGTGAGTTTATACAAGACTCACTGAAGACGCCTATCCCGATTGGAAAACCCTAGCCCCAGCAAGTTTTATACAAAATTAATCTCCAGATGAATGTGCGAAGATCAAGTTGATATATGCATTATTATTTACGACTTTTTAAGGCCTACAATTGAGAAGTGAAAGGTGATTTTACTGTTTCCTTGCCATTGACAAAGTAAACAACACACTACGTTTCCTTGCTTATTGTTATTATTAATTCACGCTTCTTCTTGTTTCATGATTTCGGAGAATAGAAGACACAACCGTATAGGATGAAAACAAACGACGGGCATAAACGACCCAACTTTTACACTTATTATGAAAATTGACTTTTGGGGCAAGGGATTCTCACCTTCATCGTATCTTAATTGTTTAGTGATAACTAATAGGCAAGTTTGTGAATTATCACAGTTCTTTCCCTCTGAAAAATTGGTTCCTTAAAAAATTCATTTTCGCATGATCTTAGTATTATTAATGGGGATGATGCAATCTATTTATTTTTTAAAAAAAACTACCAGAGAAATTGCATGGAAGAAAATGCTGCCATTACCTATATCCTTTGATCACGCTCTTTCCTCTTTTCAAATGGTTTTCAATTTCCCACTAGATCATCACATTTAATTTCCTCGATTTTATTATTAAGTGAAGATTAACAATGTATATAGATAATAATAGGCAATCGCAATAGATATAATATCCATGATCTACATTTAAAGAAAGAGTTTGAGTAGTATGTGATGGCTGTTAATTGTAAATATTAATCATATATACTTTTTTCAAAATCATTATTATAAATCCATTAGAATTAATTATTTATATATTAGTCAATAATAATAAAAAAAATAAATCTTTATATTCTTTATATATATAATGTATTTATATATACAAAATAAAAAAATAAAATCATAAATAAAACATAAATAAAATATAAAGAAATAATAATACACTTGATTATTAAAAATAATAAATATTAATGATTAATCTCTATTAAAGAAATAATAATACACTTTATTATTAAAAATAATAAATATTAATGATTAATCTCTATTAAAGAAAAAAGTTGGATGACGATATTGAAAATAATAGAAAATAATAATACATCTTGAAGTTTTACATTCGGTTAATTAATTAATATGTTTGGTTTATTATTATTACTTCGTATATTTCCACCATTATTGTTATTGTTATTATTGTTGTTGTAATTATTATTTTGATGATGGTTGTAATTATTATTTTGATTGTTATTCATAGATTGATTAACAGTTGATGAATTGATTTTTTCATTCTCTATCATTTTCTGATTTTCGGCAAATTCTTCATATATTGAATTTCCTTCCGTGAAATTACGAACTGTTAATCGACGCATTTTACGCAAATCACCTGTATCCAATAATCCATTCGATTCCGTTGAATCATTATTTAGCGATGTTGACGTCGGTATAGAGTTCGTTTTAGGGTATCGAGCCACAGGTAATCTTGGTGATATTGGTGCAGATTGAGTTGTTAATTCGTCTATTGATGAAGCATCATCATCTTGTTCTGCTTGAATTGCAAGATCATTAACAACTTCTTCATCTGATGTATCATCTTTCTGAGTAGGTTTAGTAACTATATTTAATTACAATTATTAAATATTATTAGCCACTCATTAATTGAACTATATGTATATATCAAATTCATGGACCAAAAAACTAACCTGTCATTTTTCTTTCTAAACCTACAACTTTTTCTGGTGCACTATCCATGTAATGTACACTGTTACGATTATTTCTACCTGTAATTTCATCACGTATATCACGACGACGAATAGCCGTTACAGGTGACAGTGATATTGGAGGATTCTTTGTATCAGGAGAATTCTGTAAAAATAATAATCATTATTAGTATAATTTTTAAACTATTTTAAAAAAATTGTGTAAAAAAATAAACAAATAACCTTTGAATTATCGGGTGCTTCTGATGGTACATCCATTGTTCTTGGTGCTGCAATACCATCACTATCAGTGAAGAATATATAATCAAATTCTGCCATGAATAAACTGAACACACTAGCTGGTATGCCAAGTGTAGGTGAAAAAACTATTCCGATGTTTCTCGCGGTCATTTTGTTGACAGCTGCATTTTGAACAATTCTTATTAAGTGTCCAGTTAATGTTCTTAACAGTGTGTAATTAGATAATGGTAATGTAGAGACTAATCGACCAAGTTCATTTATACGTTCTTTTCTATCAAGTAAATCTAAAAAAAAATTTATTATTATAATTATTATCATTGATAGTAAAATATAATATAATATAACTCTAATTTTTATTTTATTTTAATTGAAATGGCATACCAATAACATGTACAAATTCCAAATGTAAATCTCTGGTGAGTACACTGGTTGGTAATTCTCTAAGATAAAGTTTCAACAAACCAGCCACTGCATGCACATCATAATACTCTTCTTCACCCAATAAATTAACATCGCCCTCGGTATTGAATCGATCCTTTAACATTTTTATAGTGGCATTTGCTCCGCTCAATCGATATATACCTTCTTCTTCAGCTGCATCCTTAGCATCTAAATATTCAATGCAACGATAAAGAACAGCTGGTAGCTCATAACCTTCTTTTATTCTTGAGACAGCAATAGCCTGATCAAGTGGAACTCCAAATACGACTTTATGAACATCAGGTTTCTGATCTTGATTTTTTTTTTTATCTTCTTTAATACCAAACATAGTGCCAAAGAATGTTTTCCTAGCTGCTTTCTTATGTTCGTCATTTTGACCTTTTCTAAGGTTTGGTTGACCATTTAAATATGTTGTTTGATTATTGTTATTGTTATTACCAAGAGGTGAAATATCCCTCGGTTCAGGTGCACTATTCTTTTCTAATTCATCCCTTGGAGGTGTAAAACTATGTCTGCTATTCATTTTGTTACTACCACTAACACCTAACAACGATGGCGATGTTTGTGTTTGGAAATGTTGTGATTGTTGATATTGAAGAGGAGGTTGTGATTGTTGGTGATGAGGAGGAGGGTGTGACTGTTGGTGATGAGGAGGAGGGTGTGACTGTTGATGATGAGGAGTAAAATGAGACTGCTGAGAAGAAGGATGTGATTGTTGACGATGAGGAGGATAATGTTGTTGATTACTTGGATGTATGTTTTTTGATGGATCGATTTGATCATTATTAAATTGAGAAGATGATAACGATGGTTTTTTTTGATGATGATGACCTGATGATGCATCATATGATGAAACAACATCACTCGAAGTAATTGTTATACTTGATATTGAGCCATTATTTCCATCATTATGATGATGTTGATATTGATGTTGATGTTGCTGTTGATGATGATGTAATTGTTGTAATCTAGAATCGTTACCATTACCGTTACTGTTGTTGTTGTTATTATTATTATTATTATTATTATTATTATTATTATTATTATCATCATTATTTGATTCTAAATCTTTTTGAGATTGTTGTAAAATAACATCAGAAGTAATAGGCTTATCAGTGTGTTCATTTCTATCAGGTTGAGAAATACTTCCTTTCAACTTGCTTTTCTTTTTTTTCGATTTTTCTGTTGCTTCTTCCTCATTTACTCCAACATATTGTAGTAATGCTTCTAGCCACGCGTCTCTTTCAGAATCGCTTTCTGCACATAAAACATGTCGTGTATGTGTATTCCTGGAACTGAGTAGTTTTGGTTCTAATATTAAGAAGGCATGTCTATAAGAGTTTTCACCATCTTTATCTGATTCACTATTTGCATTACTTTGTCTACCAATTTGTGCATTGGTTAAACGAATAAACCCAAGTTGACTACCCTCTTTCTATAATTTTAATTGTTTGATTATTTGATAGTAAATATATTTTATAATTTTGGAAAATAAACAAATATCAATTAAATAAAACAAAAGATTCAACAACATACACTTTCATAATATTCTAAAAGCGGACTATTTAATACAAAATATCTACTTTTCCAACCACCAAAACTTTTGCCTTTCTTGGTAAGATAACCTTCTTTACGTCCAGGTAACTTAATATTACAAAAATAATAATTAATATTATTATTTAGTAAACTTGTTAAATATATTCTAATACAAGTATTTATTTATTATTTTATTTGATATAATTACTAACTTGATTATCTTTGTCATTTGGTTCAAGAACGTTTGAACTTAGAAAATCATATAAATCTTTAGAATCGCTTAAATTTAAAGAAATTACATGTAGCAAATATTGTTCCAAAGCCAACTATTAATTGTTAAATGGATATAAAAATCAATATAAAGTTAACAAATCAATAATAATAGTAGTAGTAATAATAATATAACTGACTAACCTTTCTTTGATCAACCTTACTTGGAGCATTATTACTAAAAAGAGTTTTATCAGGTAATTTGCCAATTTTTTGTGTAACACTTTTGTGCTGCTTTTGTTTCAACTATTGTTAATATATATATAAATATTAATTCTAAGTTAATATACGAATACACACAATTTATTTATTTATGTCGTGTTACCTTACTATCTAACCCCAAGAAATCAGAATATAATTTTTCAATTCTCCATAATTCTTTCTCCATATCAACAATTTTACCATCCACCACTTTTGATTTACCAACAATTATCACAAATGCTAAAACTGCTTTGCCCTTATCATTTATTTTTTTGTTACTTCCAATTACTTTAATAGTAATACCGGATATAGAATCGTTTAATAATGGAGAAGGTTTGGAAGATGGTGGAGCAAATTTTTGTTGCTGTTGTTGCTCTTGTTGGTATTGATGCTGTTGCCTCTGGTATTGCTGCTGCTGCTGCGGCTGCTGTTGTTGTTGCTGCTGATGCTGCTGCTGCTGCTGCTGCTGCTGCTGCTGCTGCTGCTGATGCTGTTGCTGATGCTGTTGCTGTTGCTGTTGCTGTTGCTGTTGCTGTTGTGGCGGTAATAATGACGGTGGTTGATACTGTTGAAGTTGCTGCGTTTGTAATGGTGGTGGATAATGTAATGGTGGTGGTGGTTGTTGTTGTTGTTGTTGTAAGTGAGGAGGAGGAGGTGGAGGTGGCAATTGTTGCTGTTGCTGTTGTAATTGTGGAGGAGGGGGAGGAGGGGGTAAGATGCCTTGTTGTCCTTGTAATTGAACAGGAGGAGGCACCATACCTTGTGGTACAAATGTATTTTGGTTTTGGAACGGGGTTGTAATTGGAGTTAGTTTATTAACTTGAGTTTGATTAGTTTTTTTGGCAAGTTGAGATGATGGAACAACAGGTGGATCATTCCAATTGGCAAGGTTTTTTTTGTTTGCAGCAGGAGTAATATCTGTTGGTGAGTTTTGATTCTGAACATTAGGGTTTGCAAAAGGTTGCGGAGGTGGTGGGATAAAACTTGTATTGGTAGTAGTCGTAGCGGAATCTTGATATTGAGGTTGATTATATGCAGGATAAACTGGCTGCTGATACGGATAACCAGTATTAGTTTGATTTTGAATTGGTGAATTATATTGTGGAGCATATGGATTATTGTTATATGGCGTTTGTTGAGTTTGTTGATAAGGAGGCACATTTGGAGCTACAGGTTGTTGATTATAATTGTATTGATTAAAGTAAGGTTGTTGTGCAGCTATTAGCGGATCAGCTATTTGTTGTTGTTGCTGTTGTTGTTGTGGAGTATATGCTTGGGCAAAGTTTTGATTAATTTGTGCAGCAGGGTATGCAGATGTATCAGTAGGTGCAATGGCTGTTGGAATTATTTCACCTTCACCAACAACGTGTTTCTCTTCAAATGGAAATGGTGGTGCTTTAGTTCCACCAACATCAACTCCAGATTTATATAAACGATCTCTAACCACAGCCAAAGAATCGATTTTATTAATATTGGATTTTTTATAATCTATTGGTGTTAAATTTAAATATTTGAGTGCAGTGGTTAATCGTCCTTGAGATATTAATATTTCAGCATATTCGGTATACTTGTCATATAAAGGAGCTAGTTTATAATGGCGATGTGGTTGTTGTTGATTTAAATCTACTGATCCATCCAAATTTTGAATCAAATCTGAATCAACATAATCAATTGCTTTACGAAACACGGTAACCTTTTCAATTAAACTCTGTAAAGATTTTGCATGATAAAAGAATTTAGAGGAAGGACTTGGGAGTTCTGACGATGATGATAAATTTTGAGTGGCTTTCTCAAGTAAACTTTGTTCCTCCTCCTCTTGTTCAGCAATCCAAATGTTAACCACATTTTCTAAATTTCCTGCTGCCAGATAACATAAAACTGCATTTCTTCTATATTCTGATCCTTGTGCTTTCATTTCATTGGTTGCTGAATAATTTGTCAATTTGTGATATTCCTTTTCAAGTCTTTGACCTAGTGCATTACACAATCCTCCGAACTCCTCAGATCGAGCAAAAGTACACAGTACCACAACAACTTCTTGCCATTCAGAGAGGTCTGCGTTTAGTACAATGTCTGATAAATCACCTGAAACTATACTTTGAAGAAGACGTAAATAAGGAATAGTGGATGCATGTTTTTCAAAATATATTTTACGAGTATGTTGTAAAAGTTCAGGACCACCACAACCAGCTAAAATCAAAGCATCGGACAATCTATCAGCCTCAAGACACAATTTGACAGCTGATTCAAAGTCACCGAGTACAATGGATCTAGTGATAAGTTTGTCAACATCAGATTCTTGTGTTGGATAAATTTTGAAGGCACCCAAGTTTTTTGGTATTGGTGATGACGACGTAACAGCAAGTATCGAAGTGGGGTCGTCAGTATTTGTAATAGGAAATGGATCACTATTTATAACATCTGGACTAAAAAATTTGGAAGCCTCTGCATCACTGCCAGATATGTTTGAACTTGAAAAAAGTTCATCAACAGTTTCTGATCTACTTGCTAATGATTCTATAACACTTGATTCATCGCTAACAGAAGGAGTAGCGTTAGTAATTGTGGTGGTGATGGTAGTGGTAGTGGTAACTTTATCATTATCATTAACATTTTTTTGTTTTTTATTGTAATCAATGATATCTGATTCAGTGTGATCTTTCAGATTCATAGCTTTTAATGCATCTGAAATTTTTGCAACAATATCTTCTTTTGAGAAACCAAGATTTTTAACCAATAGTTCTCTAGCATTTTCATTTTCATTAAACATTGTATAAAGAATTCTCCAATTTTCAGATTCAAACTCACTGGTTGCTTGTTTTTCACGTTTTTCACAAAAAACATCTAAGGTTTTTGCCTCCACAGAATTTTCCAATTCATCAGAACTTTTAGCAACTTCAGGTTCTGAAACTATATTTGAAATAGCTACGACACCTTTTTTTGTTGCAGTCTTATTATTGAATGATATTAATTTTCCACCAAATCCAAACGATACACCAATTGGACGCCTTAACCATTTGGGAGGTAGTTTAAGAGTAAGCGATGGCTCATTATCTCTTGCGATTTGTGAAAATGGATCATTACTATCTATTGAATAGGTTTCATTCTGATTACGTCCTGATTGTAAAGAATGAACACTAATCTTTTTAAGTTAAAAAAAAAAAAATAAATAAATAATAATAAACTTTTAAAAAAAAATAAAATTAATAAATAAAATTGATACCTTTCCATCAAAAGAAGCTGTAGCCAATAAATCAGGATTTGTAGGACAAAATTGTACATCAAAATACCAATTTGAACTTGGAGGAAGCTTAAAAATGTATATAAATCTTTTTTATTATTTAAAAAGATACTTTAAAATAAAAATAATGTAAATTCAACATTAATATGTATAAAATACCTCTCCCAATATTTCAAGAGTTCTTGGATTCCAACATAGTGTCCTATTATCTTTACCACAAGAAAGTAGCAAATCTGAATCTTTTTTACACCAAGAAAGTGACAAAACACCTCTTTGATGACCAACCAATATCTAAATAAAATAAATTTGTACAAATTAAAAACTAATTAATAACCCAACGATTTAATAATTAATAATAAGTAAATTACTTTTTCAGGAGCTCTTGCATTACGAAGATCCCAAACAACTATCACAGGATTGTTATCATCTTCTGATGCTACTATAATTTGTGTAGCCTTTTTTTTTAAAAAAAAATAATAAATAAATATTACCAATTATCAAATAAAATAAAAATCGTTAAATGATTAAATATATTTAAGAATGAATACCAAATCAGGATTCCAAGCTACAGCTGTAGCACCTCTTCTACCAACTCCACCACTTAATCCAACGGCTGAATCAGGAACTGAATATGATAATGTTGTAACTTCACGTTTAAATTTCAAATCCCACACTACAGTACAACCAGTGTTTGAAGATGTTGCTAAAATATGTTGTACTTGATTATTCCAAGCAAGGTGAGATATTTCTTCAAGATATTTTGATCTGGTTCCAGGGGTATAGGGTTTGTCTGGTTTTGTAAGATCCCAAATAAATACCTGAAAGTGAAAAAATAGTTTAGAATGAATGAATGAATAATTTATCATGAAAAAATTTTAAATAAATAATAACAATAGAATTCATACTTCGCCATTAGTTGCACCTGATGCCAATAAATTACTTTGAAAATTATTAAAAGCTAAACCACGAACATTTCCGGTATGAGCATTATTCCTTAGTATTAATGCCTTTTCAGAACTTTATCAATTTTTTTAATTGATAATTAAATTATTATAAAATAGAATATATAAAAGATAAAATCAATTTATTTTAAAAAGAATTTATTTTCTAATTTTATAGAGTCATATGATCAAATTATGGAGAAATGAAATAAAAAATAAATTTATCAAGACTCACTCGCCACCCTCTAAAATAATTGACGGATCCCATAAATCCAATTCACCATTTTCCATCCCACCGGCAATAATTCCATAAGGTTTATCAGCAGCAATCCCCCATGCTAAACGATCAAATCTATAATCAAATATATACAAAAAATTATGTACTATATCATATTTCAACAATCAAAACTTCAAAATCAATAACAGTAATAAAGTATGAACCTTGCATTACTGGTAACTAAGCCAGAAGGTTGTTGTAAATTAAAACTTGAATCATTTTGATCTAAATTAAGGTGAAAAAGTTCTAATTCTGTTGTATTTGAAAAGGAAGCATCAAGAGCACCAGCTACGGTTCCAGTTGCAATTATAGGAGAATTTTGGCCAGGACTCCAAGCAAAGGTAGCTGTACGCGATATTTCTTTTAATTTCATCTTTTAATTTTTATTAGAATTTAGTTTTTTTTTTCAAAAAAAAATTTTAAAATATGGTAGATCAATCAATAAGAAGATAAACGTGGCAAGAATGAATTTGACGAAGGGTAATTGGCCTATTAATTTCATATAGGAAAGATTTTCAATAAATATTACGTAAATTCAAATACATAAGTAAACTCGACAAGTCGCCAAAATTTTTCAGCCCTTTTTTTCAATACTTAAAAATCTCCGATAAGTCGGTCAATCTATATAAAATCGCGATAAGCTGTAAGTCGGCCAACCCTTATTCTAGAATATATTAGATATGTAAATTACCCTCGATAAGTCGGTCTCGTATGATATTTGCATTGAGTGAAAGGTCATCATTACTATTTTTAGTAACGTGTAATTATGAAGAAAAGAAAATTGTAAGGGAAATAATTTATTGCCTAACTTAATATTTTAATAATAACATCTTCAAAAGGTTCCAGAACCCACTTAACAATGCTGTTAAGATTGAGAAAAAACTTTGTGAAGATTAAATCGTTCTAATAGAAGCTTGATATTTGAAGTAATTCCAAGCGTCTAAAAGAGTTAGAGGCCACAAAATTTATTTACACGTGATTAAAATTAGAAGCCTGATGTGAGGCGAGGACTTATTATACAGAGAAAAATGCAATAGCCTGAAATTTACAGGCGCAATAATATAGTATAGTCAAATAAAATGGTTAATTAAAAGAACAGAAATTAATAACAAACATGTAAGAAATAAAGCTCTACCAAGTTTCTTTCCTAATTCATAATTCCTGTATTAAAAACTATATTATTATTTTTTTTTTGGAGTTAATGTCGTTCGTCAATAGTAAATAATTCTTTTGGGTTCGTTTGTAATGCAACCTTTTTTACTTCCTTTACAATGCTAAGGACATCGATTATATCATTCTGTAGTCATTAAAAGAAATAATTAGAGAAATAAACCTGCTAATTGTGAACAAATAAAGACATACCTTTAAACGCAGTACATTTTTTAAAATCACAAGGCTTTCTGGAACACTTCCCCATGTTGTTACAATTCGATATTGACACGTTTCAAGCACGAAATAATATTTAAGGTCCGCATCATAATACATGACATACATTCTTCCATTAAAACCTTTGTTGAATGTGTGAAATTAGTTTCAACTATACAAAGAAACATTTGGTACAAGTTTTTTCCATAGTTATCTCCATGAGTTATTCCATGTAGAACAATATTCTTCACTTTTTTTATCGATTCCTTCGTGAATTTCAACTTCTTCAGTATACGGTCTAACTGATCTTTCATTTCTCGAAATAATTTTTGTTTGTATGAAATTGGTTTCGAATTTTGAGGGTCTTCATATTAATGTGTAATGTTCCTAACCGAAAATCGAATATTCGGAAATCGATTTGTTCAAGGATATTTGAATATATATAATTTATTTCATAATTATTTTTGGATACTCGTAATTATTTTGAATATTCATAATCATTTCAAGCAATATTTGATAATTCACAAATGATTATCGATTGGTAACAAATAGGACCAATTTATTTGTAACTTATCCTATTATAATAAACATTTTTCAAAGATAATAAAGATAACTTATATTTTTACAACAATTAAAATATTTGTTCAGAAAACATTTTCATTTAAAAAGCAATTCCTTCAAAACCAAATGGAATTTATAGAAAATTTTCTCCTAATACTTTAGGAACTACCAATTGTATAAATCATTCAAAATGTCATTCTTATGCCTGATAAAAAAAAAAAAATGATGGTAGTTTTTTTTATTTGTATGATGATATAATTTATCAAATAATTTTTTTGATATAGCTTGAAATGAACAATCAAATTGATGTCCAAAAAGAGCTTTATCAATTAAAAAACAAGAAAAAATTAATAATAGCTTGTTAGAATTTATACAAATGTCTAAAATAATGAGTGTCCAAAATAATTACGAGTATTTGAATAAATATTCGAAATTCGTAATTTTGGATTTACGAATATTCGAATAGGGCGTTAGAATTACGGTTAGGAACCCTACATCTGTGTATGTTTCTGCTCCGAAATATTCCAAGTCATCAAAACAAAAGATAATATCGATGTTGTGTCCTGATTGTTTTTTTTTCTCACTCTTCTCTGGACAAATTCTTACGCACAATTGATGCCAAAGATATTTCTTCACAACTGGGATTACAGAATAAAGAATTAAAATAAAATATTGAAACACAAAGCTACTATTACATTAAATCCTACCAGAAAACTTCATACTCACTGATGAACTTGGATTTCCTCACATGGTAAGGAGACAATCATTAATTAATGGAACCAAAAGGTGGCAATTCAGCCAACTTTCAGAATTTCTATTGAGAAGTGGATTCCATGGAGCTTCAAAAAAGATAATCTAGTAAAAAGAATGGAAGGTAAATTATTATGAATGTTGGATATAAGTCTTATGTAAGCTTTCAATAGATAATGTAAAATGCTAGATATAGAAATTAAAAAGAAAATATTAGGGGTGTTCAAAGTTGTTCCTGTTCCTTGTTGTACAATACCTTATTAGGTAAGGAAATAAGAATCAACTTTGAGCAGAAATTTCCTAGTTGTTTCCATAACTTCTATATTTGGGATGATCTACATAATAAAATTTACGCGTTTTTTAACAAAGATGTCAACTCGTGAAAGAATTGAAGAGGCATTGTTTCTAAATCTATTCCAAGAAATAACTGAATTGGATGAAT